CACACACACACACACAGAGAAACACATTCAGAAACGGTGACAGGCCAACAAAACGTGTACACAAATCAGTACCTCAGAATTACGAAGTTCTATCTGCTCAGTACCTACTTTTGAGCCATTTGATGTCAAATATTTTGAGTTTCACTTCATGTCTAGCTTTTTCAAATGTAATTCTTTGAATATCTTGATAACGGCTCCGAATAATCTTACAATTTGGATGTAGCTGATAGAACATTAAAATTTAAAATTTGGTTTCTGACCTCATGGCCTAAGGAACTCAAAACAGCCTAAAATGTCAGATAGAAATATGTAATCCTAATTATACTTCCTCATAAATTTACATCCTCTGAGAGAGACATTCATCATGATGATGATGATGATGATGATGATGATGATGATGATGATGATGATGATGATGATGATGATGATGATGATGATGATGATGATGATGAGGTGGACGAGGAGGAGGAGGAGGGTGATGAAAACAGTGAAACACCACAGTATCTATATGACTGGTCGTACCTGAAAAAAGACGATCACAGAAGTCAGTTGAGTTGATCAAATCCGTATATTGAAATCTACCGCACACCCATTTTTTGTTTTGTTTGGGATTTTTTTCGCAGAGACGAAATTCAAAACCACTTATTTAGAACTACAAGTCTTCTCATTCCGCGCAAGCTGTGAGCCTTAATCACAGTTTAACTCACCTGTAAGCTTGCAATTCAAGCCCGTGAAACGCAACCAAGCTCAAACTAATTGCTGCAATAATTTCTTCAGGTTGCTCACAACTAATTGTTCTGACTGCAAGTTACTTTTTATGAAGCTTTCTTTCAGCTAGCATCGTCTGTTGTGGAGTGGTTAGGCCAATCCCCACCGTATACAGAAAACCTCTCAGCCCAGGATGGCCCAGGCAGACAGAGTTGACGCCCACCTCTTATAACATCTAAATTTCTTCGACAGGGGCGTAAAAAACACGTATAATTTTGAATGACCAAAAAAAAATTATTTTTTTTAAAAAGCGTCGCAGCATTACTTTTACACACTGCAGAATACGGCTATTATAAGCATTACCTTCACGCACTGCAGAAGACGGTTATGTACAAATATGGCCTTCTATTCACACGTTTAAGGTAATTTCAGCAAAATGTGACCACCGAAATCTGAGATTTTGCCTCCTTTAAAAATATTGTTGTTTCGTGTGTGTGTGTTGTTTTTCGGGGGGTGGGGGTCGATTAATTATCGTCGCACATCGATATGGCAGTCTGTAGAAAACATGATGAATTAACTCTCAACAATTCTCTCCCATAATTTTCGAGACTCACATTACGATCACTTTCGGTGGCCATGATACCCAAACTTGTTATGTTTTTTTGGGGGGTTTTTTGGGGGGAGG